TGTCACCTGTTACTTTTGTAACAAAAAGGGACACGTAAAGATGGATTGTGAGAAACGTAAGGCTTGGTTCGAAAAGAAAGGTATTCATCTTTCTTTTGTATGTTATGAATCAAATCTTATTGAAGTTCCTTCTTATACTTGGTGGCTTGATTCTGGTGCTACAACTCATATCACAAATTCATTACAGGGATTCCTTACAACTCGGAAACCGGAGGAAAGTGAAAAGTACATCTATATGGGGAACCGTCTCAAATCTAAAGTGGCGTTTGTTGGCACTTATCGCCTCATATTAGAGACGGGTCATAAGATGGATCTTGAAAACACTTTTTATGTACCTTCGTTTTCTAGGAATTTGGTTTCTTTGTCAAAACTGGATGTTTGTGCTTATTCAGCTTTAATTGGTTGTGGAAAACTCAGTTTTATGTTCAATTTAATAATAATTGGTTCCGATATTTTATGTGATAGTTTATATAAAATATCTTTGAATCGTGAGTTTGAACAATCATTATTAACCACTCATTCGGAAGTTGGCATAAAGCGAAGCCTAAATAACGAAAATTCTTCTATCTTGCATAAAAGATTGGGGCATATCTCCAAGGAAAGAATCGAAAGATTGGTAAAAATTGGAATTTTGGAAAATCTAGACTTTACTGATTTTCAAATGTGTGTGGATTGTATTAAGGGTAAGCAAACCAAACAGAATAAAAGAGGTGCCACAAGAAGTAAAGAGCTTCTTGAGTTAATTCATACAAATATATGCTCACTACCTATTCCATGTTTTAATGGAGAAAAGTATGTTATCACCTTTATTGATGATCTATCTCGTTATGGTTATCTCTATCTAATTCATGAAAAATCTCAAGCCGTTGACATGCTTGAGGTATTTGTTATGGAAGTCGAAAGACAGTTAGATAGAAAAATTAAAGCTATACGATCAGATCGGGGTGGGGAATACTATGATAGATATGATGAGTCGGGACAAAATCCTGGCCCATTTGCTAAATTCTTAGAAAAGCGTGGTACTTGTGCTCAATACACAATGCCTGGAACACCACAGCAGAATGGAGTTGTTGAACGTCGTAATCGTACTCTCATGGATATGGTTAGGAGTATGTTAAGTGATTCAACTGTACCCATTTCACTTTGGAATGAAGCCTTGAAAACCGCTATGTATATCTTAAATCGGGTTCCCAGTAAGGCAGTCCCAACAACTCCCTACGAGTTGTGGACTGGTAGGAAACCTAGTTTAAGACATTTACATGTTTGGGGTTGTCCAGCAGAGGCTAGAATATACAATCCAAATGAAAAGAAATTGGACCCTAGAACAATTTCTGGATATTTTATTGGTTATCCACTAAAGTCAAAAGGGTACATATTTTATTGTCCTAACCATACTACGAGGATAGTTGAAACTGGAAATGCCAAATTCTTAGAGAATGGTGAAGTTAGTGGGAGTGTTGAATCAAGAAAGGTAGAACTTGAGGAAATTTGGGTGGATATTTTATCATCTTATTTCCCTCAAGATGAAGTTACTCTTCAACCTATACAGCAGGTTGAAACAAATGATTCGCCACTCCATCAAGATATCATCATTGGCAATACTGTAGAACCACCACAACCAGTAGCTTTGAGGAAATCTCAAAGGGAAAGATAATCTGCCATATCCGATGATTATGTGGTGTATCTACAAGAATCTGATTTTGATATTGGTATTCAAAATGATCCAGTTTCATATTCACAAGCCATGAAAAGTAAAGATTCTAGTAAATGGATTGATGCTATGAATGAAGAGTTGAAATCAATGGACTATAATGGTGTCTGGGATCTTGTCGAATTGCCTAAGAACAGTAAGAAAGTCGGTTAAGTAGATGGGTCTTCAAGACCAAACGTGACTCTAAAGGCAATATCGAAAGATTTAAAGCTAGACTAGTGGCCAAAGGTTTCACTCAAAAGGAAGGCATTGATTATAGAGAAACTTTCTCTCTAGTATCTAAGAAAGACTCTCCTAGAATCGTTATGGCCCTTGTAGCTCATTATGATTTGGAGTTGCACCAAATGGATGTGAAAACCGCTTTTCTGAATGGGGATTTAGATGAAGATATCTATATGGACCAGCCTGAAGGATTTGCAAAACAAGGAAAGGAACACTTGGCTTGTAAATTAAAGAAATCCATATGTGGACTTAAACAAGCTTCTAGACAATGGTATATAAAATTCAATGATACCATTACTTCCTTTGGATTAAAGGAAAACACTGTTGATTAGTGTATATATCTAAAGGTCAGTGGGAGCAAGTTTATCTTTTTAGTCTTGTATGTGGATGATATTTTACTAGCAAGTAGTGATCTTGGTTTGCTTCACGAAACTAAGAATTATATTTCCAAGAATTTTAAGATGGTTGATTTGGGTGAGGCAAATTATGTGATTGGGATAGAGATATTTAGAGATCGATCTCGAGGATTGTTAGGCTTGTCTCAGAAAGGATATATCAATCGAGTTCTTGAAAGATTTAATATGCAGTTTTGTTCAGCCATTAATGCTCCTATCACGAAAGGTGATAAATTAAATGAAAAGCAATGTCCAAAGAATGATTTGGAAAAGGAGAAAATAAAATTGATTCCATATGCATCAGCTGTTGGAAGTCTGATGTATGCACAGACTTGTACTAGACCAGATATTAGTTATGCAGTGGGAGTACTTGGTAGATATCAAAGTAATCCGGGAATAGACCATTGGAAAGCAGCAAAGAAGGTTATGAGGTATCTTCAAGGAACAAAGGATTACATGCTTACTTATAGGAGATCGGACCAATTAGAGGTTATTGGTTATTCAGACTTCGACTTTGCTGGTTGTGTAGATAGTAGAAAGTCCACATCGGGCTTTGTATTTCTACTAGCTGGTGGAGCAATCTCTTGGAAGAGTGTAAAGCAAAGTATTATTGCTTCTTCCACAATGGAGGCTGAGTTTGTAGCATGTTTTGAGGCCTCAAGTCATGCACTGTGGTTGCGAAATTTTATCTTAGGGCTTAAGGCTGTTGACTCAATTGCTAAGCCTTTGAAGATATATTGTGATAACACCGCAGCCGTTTTCTTCTCTAAGAATGGAAAATATTCAAGTGGATCCAAGCACATGGATCTTAAGTACTTGGTTGTTAAAGAAAGAGTCCAGAAACAACAAGTGTCAATAGAAAATTTAAGTACAACTCTTATGGTTGTTGATCCATTAACCAAGGGATTGCCTATAAAGACATATGAGGAACATGTTATTAGAATGGGTCTTTTGAGCAATCCATGATTTGATGAGTTATGATTGTAATTGACACTTAATTTATTTAATCAAATGTTTCTGTTTTCTTGTTTCCAATTATGTGTGCACATATTATATTTGGAATTAATTTAACAGGATATTGTCCTAACAAGACAAAATTAAATGGGCTATTATGGATTAGAATAATAAGGGTTATTAGTGGCGTGATACATAGAAGGGAATATGATGAATGAATCATATGACCGCTATGATTCACATTAATAACTCAAACTAGTTCTAGTATAAAAGTACTATATTTACCTATTATGGTAATCACCTTAATTTTCTTTAAAAATCGTGATCACGTGTCAAATGTTTTGTATGAAGAACCCACCGAGTCAAATAATTTTTTAAATTTGTTTTTCTTAAACGGTTCAATGGGCCAAGTGGGAGAATGTAAGTTTTATTTTTATTTAATGGCCTATTAACCTTTGAATTTAAATTTATTAATTGTGGGTAATTCAATTATGGTATTAAGGTGATTTTATGATAATTGATTTGTAACGTTGAAGGCAATAAAAGACCATGATGGGTGGGATTTGTCTTCTGCCGTTACAAATCAATCGTGGCCCTCTTCTCTCGTCTATAAAAGAAATCCACAGCTCTTCTCCTCAACCATCAGACGCAATTTGAGAATTCCATCAATTACAGAAATACTTAGTGAGTTGTGATATTAGAGAGATAGAGAGAAGAAGGTGTGCTACGAATAAAAATCTCACAAGGAGATTCGAAGGAGGCCTGGCTAGGCTCGGCTTGTAGATTGTAGATTGTTCACCATCGCTATCGAAATTCATGGCGAACGGTATGTCGATAATCCCTATTATGTAATTATGTTCTTAAGATGAATTTGATTTCAAGATTCTGTGATTAAGGTTTTCCGCATAAAATAAATAAAAGTCTTTCAGGAAATTGGGTTTGGGTGGCTTTGTTTTGGTGGTTTTGATGGTGGTGGTATTGTTTGGGCTAGTACGGGTTGTAATTTACTTTATTTGCCATTAAAAACCGTCATAATATGGAAGTGTGGTGGTGATGGTGTGGTGTGGGGGCGGCGTGGTAACGACGAGGAGCAGATCTAAGGTTTTTCGGTAGATCAGGCGGAACACGGCGCGGGTAGAGAAATTCGCGCAGGCTGGACCCTTAATCGACTATGTGTTTTTTCGGTAGCCGATTAAGTTAATCGACTATGCTCTGGTAGTCGACTAAAGTGTTAATCCACTGTTTTGATAGTCCATTAAGGTTTATGTATATTATTTGTTATGTAAAAATAGTTGTATTTTATTTTATTTTATAGTAGTCAGTTTCTTAATCGACTATGCTTATATCGCATAGTCGATTAATATATGTGAGAGAAAAAAAAAATATTTAAAAATTTTAAAAAAACTAAAAAAAATAATTAAGAAAAAAGCTGATGAGGTGGCAGGAACATAAAATGTTGATGAGGTGCTAGGGCATAATTGGAAAAATGAGTGGTTGAAATTAGGAAGGAGTTTTTCTCAAATGGTGCAAAATAATTTGGGTCTCTTCCTATTAAAAAAAACATAGAGGGGTTTATATCAAAAAGCCCCAGGAGTTGCTAGTATTACTCAACGAAATTAGAATTCTAAGTCTCCAGAAAGATGAAAAAAACGTGATTGTAATATTTGTACTTGTATAAGAGTGTAACTGCACATCAAAATCAACGGCCCAATGGCAAATCTATCTAGTCAAATCTCAACAAGCCCTGAGTTCGAAACCAGGTGGTGTTCTGTTTCAAATATAGTTCTATTAATAAGACGAAAAAGACAACAAAGCCCTCCTTACTCGTGTGCACAAACGTCGTCAGTTAGGGTTAGCTTTTTAGATTGATAAATTGATTGTGTGTGCAGAAAGGAGGGGAGGAATATTCAATTCAGATTTACATGAGAAAGTCAGTGCAGCAGCAGCAGCAGCTGGAGAACAACAGTCTTCCCGGAAGAGACGATGATGATGATGGAATATCCTCCTCCTCCGAGTCTGAATACTCATTCAGCGTAGCACGGGTTGCGGTGGCCCAGATTTGCCAATCGATGGGGTTTACGGGGGCCCAAAAAATGGCCCTCGAAGCCCTAACCGACGTGGCAACCATGTACTTGAAAGCAATTGCCAAATTGGGAGCAGCCTCCGCCAACTCCAACGGCAGCCGGACTCAATCTAACATCCCTGATGTCATCGTTGCTCTCGAGGACTTGGGATCTGTGCAAGGTTTTGCCGGATCCTCCACTGTAAGAGAACGATCCGTGTACACGTCAGCCGTCATTAAGGATTTGATCAAGTTCGTCAACTACTCCGATGAAATCCCCTTCGCCCGGCCCTTGCCGCCGAGAACTAGTTTTTCCCCACGGCAAACTAGTAGTACATTGCATTATGATGATGAGGGTGGTTCGAAGCACGTGCCGAGGTGGTTACCGCCGGCTGTGCCAGTAGTGGTGGAGGTGGAGAAAAGGAAGCGGTGGTGGGGGTGTTTGGAGGAGGAGAGAGAAAACCAAAATTGGGAGAAGAATACGGTGGTGGAAAATGAGACGTCGTCCGTTATTAATAATAATGACATTGATATATCATCAGCAAAGAGGGCCAAAGTGAGATTCAAACTGGGATTAGAAAAAGGTTTTTGTGAATACTGATGTTGTTATTACTATTATTATTCTATAACTTTGTCCTGCTTAAAAAATCCCTTGTAGGAACTCTGCTGCTTTAATTTTAATACACACACATATAACAAATTTGTTGGAGAATCAACACAGCACATACATGATCACCATATGAATATATTGTCAGTCAAGAAACCCCTGTCCTTGTATGCTGAAATAAAAGTAGCACAGAAAACACGGTTTTTCACAATTGGTTACGGAGATGAAAGTGAGTGACGCCTGAGGCTGGGGAGCTCAGATGATTATCCATAATAAGGTTGGTTGAGACTTCTTCTCCATTGGGTAGACAGACGTGTTGGATTGAATTGAATATTGTAGTGAATAGCCTCTGTCTCTCAAAATACAGATACTGCTAACCAACCACACACATCAACTAATTAATATATATAGAGACCCCCAACATAACTCCACTAATCTCAATTCTCAACAAACTTCCCTCCTTATTTCATTGCTCAATAAGTTTTAAGAGCTGGAAATGATATAATGCGGCATACACAATATTTAACATGCATGAGAGAGATCCTAGAAAATTACATATATTAGGTGGGATGTATTTTGATATCCTTGAGGGATAACAACTCTGCGAATGCCACCTACTTTCCATCCATCGAAAATGAAACATGAGAGAGAGAGAGAGAGAGAGAGAGAGAGAGAGAGAGAGAGAGAGAGAGAGAGAGAGAGAGAAATACTTTTCCAGATTAAAGAATAAACCTTGTCGCCGTTCAAGGGAGTTTCCCCATCGCCGATTCGAAGCTCCAAGGCTTTTTTTTTACACCACCAGAATTCGGGATATCAAGAGAGACAGACCTCTTCTACTACTTGTTTGAGCTAAGATTTTAGTTCACCGAATTTGAGGAAGCAAATTATGTCCGTTGCATTGCATTTGAAGCGCCATAATCATGGAAAAAACTAGATAACACAGTTGTCTGTATATTGGGCCTGAAAGTATGTATGGCTTATTGAGTAGCAACCAAAACAAATTAAAAACGCGGACTGTGGGAATCGAACTCACGACTACGTGGTTTATGTATGGCTTATTGGGTAGCAACCAAAAACAAAATTAAAAACGCCGTCTGTGGGAATCGAACCCACGACCACGTGGTTAAAAGCAACCAAAAAAAAAAATTAAAAGCGCCGTCTGTGGGAATCGAACCCACGACCACGTGGTTAAAAGCCACGCGCTCTACCAGCTGAGCTAAGACGGCTGATTGTTTATATATTCTTTTTACAATAATTAACTTATGTTACTCGACTATTAATCAGAGTTTATAATGGTAGCTTACTTAATATATATATATATATATATATATTTATATATATATATATATATATATATAAATAAAAGTTATAAAAAAGTTATAATAATGTTGGGGTGGGGAATATATAAATCGTGTAAGTTGACAAACAGGGCCATTTTGAATTTGTCAAAATCATTCTTTTCCATATTCCAAAAAGCAGTGGCTCTAATATTCGTTTATCATCATTTTTGCCAAGTGAAGCCAGAAATCATATTCCCCACAACTTTTACGTGTCGTGTCATCCACCTTTAATTCATAATATATATATTAGGGCCAAGAAAAGACCAATTTATATATGAATATATATCCTCAGTTCATATGATCAGTTGATTTTATTAATTTATCTAGTCGTTTGCTGAGGGTTGAAATAATTAATGGGTACCAATAACATGAGTACTCCACACCATGCAGGAAATCCTTCACTAGAATTCAAGGTACGTATAACACTGTACATGACTAGATCGATGATATATAATTCATCATCTACGTACAAGCGACGAATGATTCTTTTTGGCATGAATTCATCTATCTATGACATATATAATATAATATATCCAGGGGCGGATCTACGGGGTGGCCAAGTATGCCATGGACCACCCCAAATTACGAAAATAAATTTGCCTTAGTGGCAAAGATCTCCAAGTTGTTAAATAAAGTCATGAGTTCGACTCCATTATGTAATGTACAAAAAAGTATTGTTTAATTTTTTTGTCTAAATTTCTTTTGAGCCCCTCTCCCATAAACACATTATATTATATCTATATTACTATTTAGTCCACCCAAAATTCAAAATATACAAAAAAAATCTTAACTTTTTTCTTTGTTTTTTAGCCCCTCTCCCCAAAAACACAATATATTATATCTATATTATTATTTAGTCCACCCAAAATTCAAAATATACAAAAAAAAAATCCTAAATTTTTCTTGTTTTTTTAGCCCCTCTCCGCAAAAATACATTATATTATATCTATATTATTATTTAGTCCACCCAAAATTCAAAATATACAAAAAAAGTCCCAATTTTTTTCTTCTCCTAATTTATCCAAAAAAAAAAAAAAAAAAAAAATGTCAATTTTTTTTCCCTTCTCCTAATTTATCCAACAAAAAAAGGTTCAAATTTTTTTCCGGGGGCGCTGCCCCCAAACCCCCAAAAATTTAACCCCTCTATACAGTAAATTCTTGGACTCGGCACAACCGGCATACCCTGAATTTTCGTCCTGGATCCGCCACTGAATATATCCATGTTCTGTTTTGTGCAGGTAGACGATAAGACGAAGCAGATGATAATCCCAGCAAGGGATCTTAACATTGTTTGGGGCAATGACACCCGGTACTGGAACGTACCCATAGATGAGTGAGTGATCGATCTATAAATTAAATTAAATATATACGAATTAATTTGAGGATACATATTAAATTAATAATGGGAATGAATGAATGAATTGATTAATGCAGGGGAAGTGCAGTAGAATTGAACCAAGTATGCTGGCTAGAGGTAACAGGGTGCGTAGAGAAAACGAGTCCAGAAAAGATATATGAAGTGGGGTTTGAAGTGTCAATAGGGGCAGATGCTTTCGGGTGGGGGAGCTCACCTCTGTACGTGATGGTTAAGAGAGGGAAAGACGGCAAATTTGAGTGGACCAAGTATTCTATGCAGGATCATCACCAATCTCATGATCATCACATATCTCTTACAGCAAAGCTCATGTCTTCGTCCAAGAAGCAGCAGCAACACAAAGAAGATGATATTCACGATGATATTATTAATACTGATAATAATAATAATGCAGCAGCAGATGAGAAGATTTACTTTGGTCTGTATGAAGTGTGGAGTGGCAAGTGGAAGGGTGGACTCAAAATTCACCATGCTTTTGTACATGAATTACCTGCAACCACCACCACTAATTGACGTCGTACGGCTAACTTCTACTACTACTACTGCTGCCCGCCGGCCCCTTATTTTATATCAATTAATTAGTTAATTCCAAGAGCTTGTTTATTGATATATTGATCATGCATATGCTAGATTGCTAGTATAGTACTAGTTCCAATATTATATTATATTATATATATATATATATATATATATATATATATATATATATATATATCAATGTATTTCTCTTATTAATGAAAAATAATAAAGTTGTTCTGCACTCCCTGCCATGATTGGTGATGATAAGAAAAAGAATGATCGTCACTACCAACTACTTAAACGCAGGAATATTAATTCTAAATGTGGTTTCAAGATCAAGAGTATGTGTGAATTAATTGTGAAAAAAGGAGAAAAAGGCATCTCCTTTAATTATTATATTCTCGCCTCAATTCACCACGCAAGCTATGGGATAAAATTCTTAACTTTATTTAAGATTACTTTGTTCATTTTCTAACAAAATTATTATTCCTAATTAGATCGTCCCAAACCAACCCCAATAATGTAATATTGTATAGTCAGTCGTCGTCATCTCATCACCATCATCATCATTGATGGAGCAAAATTTGCACCTTCACGGCAATTTTTCGAACCCTAGTACTCCCTTTACCGCCAGAAAAGCTCAAATATTGTCAGGACTATGACCAACGGAGACAAACAAAACGACTGGAAATTAGTAAAAAGTGAAAGAACTTGAGAGAAAGTATAAAATTATATTGCTGATGGTGTATGCACCTAAATCTAATCGGTTTTTCCTATATTTATTTATATAGATAACTTTTAAGGAAACATTCCTATTTTAGGACTTGTTTATTCATGCAAGATTTGATTATGATTGGCGCGTGAAATCTCACATTTTCTGTAACACCCCGTAATATTTATATATACACACACGCAAAAAGGTTATTGTATTTAATAATGAGATTTAGAGGGCTGATGTGTTATTATGTGATAATTTTGGGGCATAAGCATAATAATAATTCTCTAATTTAGTAAACTTGGCCATTAAGCAATTGAGGGGCTTGTTAATTGGATAATTGAGTGTTATTAACCAATGAAATTAGGAGAGAGACGCGTGTCGTGCGAGTCATCATCCTTCTTCTTCATATCCGATAAGTTTCTCTTCTCTTCGTTTCTTTATAAGCTCAAACAGTTTCTCACTCTCTCATATCGCTCTCTGTCTCTCTCTCTTCTCTCTTTCTCTTTTGCTCTCTCGCTTTCTCTCTTCTTGTTTATAGATCGAGAGATTATATAAAATAATGGAAATTTTGAGTAAAAGAAAAGGATTGAGAGGTTTTGTTGGAAGAAAAATTGAAAGGGAAAAGAAGTATATTCAATTGAGCCGAGAGAGAGGAATTGCACGAAACCTTAAGCGTGGTTTTTCAACGATAAGGTCACGTGAGTGGAAAACTCAGGAAGTCAGCATCCCCATGGTAGTGTATTTCGCCGGCGGAGGTCACTGACGGTGGTCGGAAGACGGCAAGAAGTGATGCATGCCCCTGAACTTTAGGAGTCGATTTGAGTTATGTCGGCAAGGCAAAATTCTGAGAAATAAAGACTTGTTGCCGCACCTATTTTCGGAGCAAAATTTGGAGGGATTGGAGTGCGGATTTGAGAATCATTCCTCGACGGAACTCGTAGAGAAACTCGAGAGTTGTAAGTGTCGAGCATACTAAAGCTCTCATTCAAGACTTGAGCATGACTCAAGAGTAAGGTGTGTTTATAGCACTTGCATTGGACTTCAGTAGCAGGTGCTATAAGTGGATGATTGTGTTGACTGGACTTAAGAGTAAAGTTACTTCAATGTTTTATAGAGTTTAATCTTTTTGTATTCTAGTTATATTCAAAGGTGATTGTTGTTCAAGAGATATGTATACGAGATTGTAATTGTGGACTTCGGTTGCCCACGTGTATTTGATTTTATTATTGAGAAATTAAGTGAGAGTCGTTGTATTCATGGAAGTCATTGTATTTATTAAAAACAAAAAAAAAAAAAAAAAAAATACAGTCTTATTTCGACAGTGGACGTCACATCTTCCTTTAAATATTTATGGAGAGTCCCCAATCCAAGTCTTCCAACGGCAACGGTCTTTAGATAAGCTCGCCACCTACCACATCTTATTTATCTTTATCGAAGGCATACGAGGCAAAGATGGTGGACTCTCTTTGCTAGATACATTGAATCCTATATTATTGAACTCCGACCAGGATAGCTCGAAGCGTATAGAGCGAATTCTTCGTGATTTGTTGGGTTTTCGACCCAATAATTCTAAGTGGTGAGAGTTCGGCCCAATAGTGTTGAACTGTCCTTCATATCTGCTCATCTAGCTTTCCTCGGAGTCCATTGGGCTTTTAACCCGCTAACTTAGTTTGGGAAAGTTTGGTCCGATGGTGTCGAATTGACCCCATCAATCATCATCTGTATTCCCTCGTACTTATTAATGAGTTACTGAATTATTTAATGTACAACTTCCATGTAGAACATCAATTTGGGTAGGAATGGCCATGGATACAGGGTGGGTTTTGGACTCACCCGTCCAGCTAGCAAAATTTTCCATTCCTAATTGTCCCGTCACCTATTCGGGGTTGATTTTATTAAATCCTCCCCGTACCCGCCCCTCCCCGGACACATAATTATTATTATTATTTTTTTATATTTATAAATAAAATATCTCTAAAAATTAATATACAAAACTAATAATAAAAATATATAAACATATTGGATGTGTGGCGGGTAATAGTGCTTATCTTCAAAATCCGTATCCGCTGCAAGTGAAAATTGTAAAATCCGTACCCATCCCATTAACTAGCGGGCTGGGCATTGACATGGCCACGGGGCGGGGCGGGTCCGGGTCCAAATTTTAGTGGACCCGAAACCGACCCATGGGGAGGCGGGTCCATCCGGGTCCGCGCCGGGTCCAAACCGGTTTTTCACTTTTTTTTTTTTTACAAGAAAAAAAATATATTGAAACTTGAAAAAATTTGAGATTAACTTTAAATTCAAAATTAAAAAAATAATTGAATTTAAACACTAAACAAATTTAGAAAAAAAAATGAAACGATTAAGACCTTGAGACATAAACTAAATAAAATGAAAGTTGTGAAGATTGGATTATGGGTATTTATAAGTGAAAATAATAATTGAAATTTTTTTCAAAATTTCAAAATTCAAAAAAAATCAAAATACAATCTCTTTTATTTTTAAATTAAATCGTATTTTTTTTTTATTTTTTAAAATTAAATATATATGCATTTGTTATTAGTCGAGAGTTTTGATATTAATAATAATTAACATGACAATTAATAATTTATAAATCATTAGTTATACAATTATTATAATCATTTTACAGTGTTATTTATATTTATATATTTATAGTTAGGATTAATTATCATATTCATTATTATTAAATTATTTTAATTAAATTATTAACAAATATAATATAGTAAAAAAAATTGAAAGGACTTGAGCTTAATCCATATAAATCTTACGATTTGATTCTAATATTTGAATAAAATGTAAATGTAAAAAAAATGATTAAATCATATGACCTATGATTTAATTCTTACGATTTTTACAAATTAAACCAATTAATAAAAGAGAAATCACATCATAATATATTGATTATACTCGTCCTATATAGTTTTATTTTTAAAGTACGAAATTAATTAGAATGTTATATAATCTATTTTTGTTAAAATAAACATCATTTATATTTTTAAATAATTATCTTATGATAAAATAATCAATAATTTTAATAAGTTCTTGTCAACAATTGAGGATAATCGATTTAAATTAATTAAAATGAGTTATAATCTATTTTTTAAACTAAACATCTTATTTTATTTATCATTCGAATTTTTCACACTATCGATTATAATAACATAAGTGAATTTGTATTAAGTCCACGCGTTTGTTTATTATTGAATTGATTCAATACTTTATATTTTTCAATAGTGGAGATTATAAATAGATGTTCTGAAGTATTGAACCGTGATTCTATATATATTTTTTTAAGTTTCTTATATTACATTTGTTAATTATTTAATTAAAATTATTTAATAATAATTAATATGAAAATTAATAATTTATTTAATATATTTATCATTTTACATCAGAGTTTTATATTAGATATATTTATTGTCTACCTTTAATCAAATATGTTGGTTGGCTCAGTGGTAAAGGGCTGCACATTCTTTCCGGTGTTCCGAGTTTGAACTACCGTACCATTAAAGTATGGTAATTAAAGTATGGTACGGCATGTGTTTCCACTACCACGCTAATATCGTACCGTACCGCAATTTACATTCTATAATCCGATTAGTATCCCGATATTATGTTTTGTAATTCTAATTTTTTTACATAGAAGCTTATAAAATGGAATAATTCTTTTTACCTTAAGTCAATGGTAGTGTTTGTTCTTGTTTTTTTTTTTCCAACACCAAGTGGAATTTTGTAATTGAACACATATGTTCTATTAAATGGTCTTTTATGTTCCCCATTGCCAACTAATATATTATATTTGATGTATGAATATTCTTTTTTACATTAATACTTAGTTCTATTAAACAAGACTTACATTACTTTGGTATGCGTTTTTGTTTCAATAAAGGAAACTGTGCCAAATTATTGTAATTATTACCGGTTATACACAGGACCTTATTAGAAAATAAGACACACGAGTAACGAGAACTATTTTCAATTGTGATTTGTATACTTTTTAATGCATCACCAAGTACGGTAGAATACCACATACCGATTGTACCGTACCGAAAATAATGGTATACCGAACTTTTTCGTACGGTAACAGTATGAAATTTTTCAATACCGCAATGTACGGTAGGTACACGGTATTGAACGAAATGTGTGGCAACCGTACCGAATCCATCCCTACCCATATGTGCAACGGGTCCTCGGGTTCGGGTCCTCGGTTTCCCCATTGGGACCCAAAACCGACCCGTACTTGGTCGGGTCCGGGTCCATAGTCAACGGGCCGGGTCCGGATCAAACCCGGGCCGTGGCTAACTGGCCGGGTTAAAGTGGCATACATAAATTTGGGCCTATGGGATATATATTCAATAAACATGGGGTAGGCCAGAAGAAGGTAATTGGTCAATGCACGGATAATTGAGTGCATGATTGATTAACTTGTTATCTTTCCAACCAATAAATAAATATTAAATAAATACCCTTTATCTCTCCACCACCACAAGTCCACCAAACAAAAAAATAATAATAAAAGATTCCTCTCCGGAGAAGTATCATCTGATCATAAGGAAGGAAGTTTAGGTGAAAGAAAGAAATCAACATAATAGATTAGATGGCGGTGTTGTTGGAGGATATAGTGAAGTCTATTGAGCAGTTGCTAAAGCTGATCAGCAACAAGACCCAAGAACAGTCCTACGTGGACCCCACCCTCGACCCGGTTCTTTTCGTCCCCGGCATCGCCGGTTCCATTCTCAACGCTGTCGATTCTAAAACCGGCAACACCGAGCGGGTCTGGGTCCGGATTCTCGGGGCTGATCACGAGTTCCGGGACAAGCTTTGGTCTCACTTCGATCCTGCCACAGGTTTTCTTTTTCATTCAATCTGGATGGCTTTTTCTAGTTCTTGGATATTACTTTTTTTGGTCAGATAATGATTTATAAGCTCATACTTGTTTGGTTTCATAAGCTCAACTTTGCAAAATAAGTGTTGTTAAAAGAGGGAGGAGGGCCAATTTGAAAGACAATTATAAGAATGCTATATTGCAATCTTTAATGATGGGACATATGCTCTATGTAACTAAGATGTAACAACAAAGTTTGAATCATGACCTTCATTAGGAAGGAAAAGTTATGTAATTTAGAATAATATGTATTGTACACGTACAAATGTACAAATATTTGGGATGGTAATTAAGAGAATGCATCATGGTTGAGACAGGTAGAAGTGAGACCGTAGATGCGGACACACATATTGAGGTTCCTCAAGACAGACATGGCCTTTATGCTATTGACACCTTGGACCCCGACATGGTCAGTCTCCACCTATTCAAATCATTACTCCAACCGCATCTTTGCTCTCGACCTAATTCTTGTTTTTCAGGTTATTGGCAGCGATTGTGTGTATTATTTTCACGACATGATTGTCGAATTTATTAATTGGGGCTATCAAGAAGGAACTACACTCTTTGGCTTTGGATATGTTTTCCGCCAAAGCAATCGGTAACTTTTTATTTCTTTCTAAACATACTTCTATCTGTGTGTTTATAGCCATAATCACTACATGTTTGCATGCATATTGGAATTAATGTATTTCATTGATTTTAATTTGGAATTATGTATGATGCTCTACTTGTTTTCCAGTTTTCAGGGAACACTGGATCGCCTGGCATCAAAACTTGAGTCGGTATATACTGCTTCTGGAGGAAAGAAAATAAACATAATAAGCCATTCGATGGGTGGTCTTCTGATTAAATGTTTTATGAGCCTGCATAGTGATGTAATACTGAATTTCTTATTCCATTTTGATTTCATTATTAACTATACACAATTTTGGAAACCGATATATATATTGATGGCATTGTTTTCCAGATCTTTGAGAAGTATGTCAAAAATTGGATTGCTATAGCAGCACCATTTCGAGGTATGGGACACAATTTTGATCTGTTTTTCTCTAAGTAAAAATTACACTCTTTGATAATTATTTATTTGTTGTTTGGACCACCCAAACAGGTGCACCTGGATACGTAACCTCCGCATTCTTGAATGGATCATCATTTGTTGAAGGGTGGAAACAGAATTTTTTTATTTCAAAATGGAGTATGCAACAATTGGTACAAACTTTTTTAGTATGCTGATCACCAACTTGTGTACGTATATTACTTCCCCCCTCTTTGGAGAGACGTCTTAATGTCTTCCTTTTTTTCTTTCCAGCTGCTCGAGTGCCCATCAATATACGAATTGATGGCCTGTTTAGATTTCAAATGGGAAAATGTTCCACTTGTTGAAATATGGAGACAGAAATCTGATGATGATGGGAATACCACCGTAACCCTTGAATCTTATCCTCCTGTAGAAGCTATCCAGATCTTTACGGAAGCTCTTTCAATCAACAAGGTGAGCGATCTATGACCTTATTTTTTTAGATATTCGTTTTAATAATTATACTCTATATGTATATCTTCTTACAGTACGTGTGTTATATAGATCGACATTAGTATTCCTGGCTGGCTTTTGTGCAGGTCTGTTATAATGGTGCTGATGTTGCCGTACCATTCAATATAGAGATTCTAAAATGGGCTAACGAGACACGCAAGTTGTTGAGCTCTGCGCAACTTCCAAATGAAGAGATTAAATTCTACAATATTTACGGCACAAATAACAAGACCCCTCATTGTGTTTGGTACTTGACACACTTACAAACATTGAACATTAATAGTAGTAGAATGTAAGAAGAATTATGAAAATTGATGTTATATATGGTACTATGTTGCAGCTATGGAAGCGAGAATGCCCCCGTCACAGATCTGCGAGCAGTGCCTACTCTCCAGGTATATTTCTTAGTTAAATGAACCACACACAATGTTGATATTCCATTAAATTATTTCATTGGTTCTAAGAATTACACACACGTACGTAGGCCAAGTACGTATATGTTGATGGTGACGGAACAGTTCCAGCAGAATCTGCCAAAGTAAGTAATTAAATATTTTTAAGATATGTGAAAATTAATCTGACTGAGGTTGCAATAATGACATTTGTGAGTGTTGATTGGTTTGTATTGAAAAGGGGGACGGGCTTCGTGCGGAAGCAAGGGTAGGGGTGAGTGGGGACCACAGGGGAATACTGTGTGACAGACATGTGTTCAGAATAGTGAAGCACTGGTTGAAGGCAGATCACGATCCGTTTTACAATCCATTAAATGACTATGTAGTACTGCCAAGTGCTGCTATTGAAATGGAAAGAGGATTGAAGGTTAGTTATGCAAGAGAAGAATGGGATATTATTACAGATGAAGAAAATAATAATATGGGAAAAGATGTTGTTTTGGTGGGTTCAATTGATGTGGCGGCACGCATCGCTGGCGGTGGCGGTGAATCCATGGAAGAAGCTCATGCAAGTTTTAAGGTTGAACAAGAAAATGAAGAGGGTAAAAGACATGTGGAGCTTAATGTTGTATCTATCTCAACTACTGCATAGAATGAAGAAGATCGTTGCCCCACTTATTTCCTCGATCTGCATATAAATAATATAAAGCTTGTATGTAATGAATCAAATTTCCTTAAAGATGATATTTGTATGTAAACAAACATGTTATGTCATGTGTAAATACTAATTAGTAATCGCTTCGCTGTCTGTAGATGAATTTGCTCAATTCGTTACTGTGCTTTCCATTTTTCCTTCATAATTATCAATCTTTGCTATCTCTCTTTCATTTTCTGGAATTCAATTGAACTGATAATAAAAGACGTCGTGTCGTTGTTGAAACAGTGTCTGTTCGAGCTTTCCTCTCTTATTCATAGCCCTGCTCTATTCATTTTCATTCACATAATGATTGTAAGCCTCATTCACATAAACACGTCATGTACTTAGCATCTTTCAGAGTAGTTTTGTCGTCTGTAAGTGCTACTAGCGATGCGATGAAGAAGTCAATAATAATGCTGATACTGGGGCATGCACCAACAATGTTCGAACCTGCTTATTAATTATGTTTTCATCTAATTCTTTTCCTATAAGCCCGACCAAAATTTCAGCTATAAAGAAAAGCTTTGGTTTAGATATTTAGATTTGTTGTTGCTTTTCGAGATATAGGCCCAGAAGCTCCAGTTCATGTTCTTGTCATTCCAAAGTTTTTTACGAGATGGTCTAACCGATCTTGGCAAGGTACTGTCTCGTTTCCTTGTATTCTTATGTTAATACATAACATTCTTGACTTTACAGAAATTTTGACAAGGTTTAGTGGTGGTTCAGCTTTAGCTTTAATTGTGTGTTGTGATGCTTTCTGGGCTGAAAAGAGATATATTGGGCTGTCTTCTTTATGCTGCCTGCAGCTAACATTGATAGTGGCAGAGAAACAAGGCATCAACGAGGGCTTTCGTGTTTCTATTAACTTGTAAGTTTCTTTCTCTAAAAAATGCAAGGTTGGTCCTTCTGTTCTGAGACTTGTTTCTTTAGGCAGTTATTATTTCTTTGATAAACATGTTTTGAAGAAACTAGAAAGGTGCACGTGCGTGTGAGTTATTTTATTTTATTTTATTTTTATGTTATGCTTGATCAAGTTTTAGTAGTAGTATCTTATGGGATAATTACACTTTTGGTCCCTCATGTTTGGCACAATTTCACTTTTGGTCCCCTTGTTCCAAAGTGAACAAAGTTCACCTCCAAGTTTCAATTTTAAATACTTTTGGTCCTCGCCGTTACATATCCGTTAGCAAGTAACGGAAAACACTATTATGGGCCGAAAATTGAAATTTTAAAATCTTTTCGGCTGAAAATAATTATAAATTAATAATAGACTACTTATAATTTTTAATAAAAAAAATCAACGAAACAAATTAGTTTTTAATATACTTAATATTATTATAATTATACTACTTATAATCATTTTTTTAATAATAAAAAAATTAACTAAAC